GTAGCCGGGCGTCGCTTCCCTGGCGTGAGCGGCGGTAGCACCAGAGAACCGGAAGCCACTCCACCGGAAGGGCCGGATGCACTGGGGGCTAGAAACTTGGCGGGGAAAGAGGCTGCAGCCTGGGCAGGTCCTCCTTTGAGGCTTCCCGCAGGAGGCGAAGAGGGGTGCGGAGTTCTCGCTCCTCTGCTCGTTATGGTCTCCTTTTCCCTTTTGTTCTCCAGGTGCAGAAACTCCCCGCAAGCAGAAAGCTAGCAGCGTAGGGAAAAAAGAGAGAGATTAAAAACTGCATAATTTGACCGCTTGGCTATCGAAGCTGCTTTTTCTAATTGCAAGGAGCCCTTTGCACACAGGGAGACCCCCCACCTGCAAGCCAGACCCCCCAAAGTCCCCTTTGCCTCCTCCAAGGGAGTGTGACCAGTCACGTCCTGCTCCCCCCCCCACAATGCAAAAATAAAGAACCTAAGGAATCTATAGGTAAAGAAGGGGGAGATGCAAGAGGGACGTTCTGTGACATTTCCGATCCACCATCGACACTACCCGCAGCGACACCGCGCATAGCCCGAAAGTGTGTATCGCAGGTCAATCTACTCCATTTTTTACCTCTTTAGTAAGAAAACTGGTGCTCTTCATAAATAGCCCGTGCGGAAACTAGGACCATCTCTTAGTCGTTCCTTTCAGCGTGTTGTTGGCGGCCCGGCTGCAAAAGAGAGGCCGCATCGGATGACTCCGCTCCGGCCTCTCTCTCCACTCTAATTCTGTGACGACGCGGAAGGGAGGCAGAATGCCCGCAGTGACTTTCCCACTTACATCGGAAGTGATAAGTCCCTGAACTCTTTTTAACCTCTTTGGCTCACAAACCCGGTGCTCCTTTGTAAACGTTCCGTGCAGAAACTCATGCTGCCTCTTCGATCGTTCCGTTCAACTCTTTGTTGGCAGTCCAGGTGGAAAGGGTGACTATTGATCTTCCTCCACTCTCCCATGTCGAGGCGACGAAGAACGAATAGCGGCTACAGAAAGCCCTGAGCAACGCCCAGACCGAGACCGGAAGTGTATATTGCCGGTCCCGTTACACTTTTTGTTCTACCTCTTTGGCTCAGAAACCCAGGAAAGGAGAGGCTGCCATCTGGTGGTCACATTGGAAAAAGTGAACGGCTAAGCTAAGAAATGGATAGATGCTGCCATCTGGTGGCCAACCGAAGAAACGACATGGTTAAGACTGTGCAGATGCTGACATCTGAAGCAGTAGAACGAAGTAATCAAATCCAAACAAATGGTGACCATATAAATTTAGCCTGTTATTCCTGTTTGGTCTTTGCATCTGTGAAAACATCTTCATTATGTTGCATGCTAAATGGCTGTTCATCATCTGCCTGTATGTATGCTGTTTAACGTCCACTGCATATGCACAACAGCTAAAGGAGAATTTGTTTTTAGAAGAAGAGATTGGATTTATACCCTGCCCTTCACTACCCAAAGGAGTCTCAGAGCAGCTTACAAACTGTTTTCCCTTCCCCTCCCCACAAGAGACACCCTTTGAGGTAGGTGGGGCTGAGAGAGCTCTAACAGAAACGGCTTTTTTTTCAAGAACAGCTCTTATCAGAAACACGGCTTGCCCAAGGTCATCCAGCCAGGTGCAAGTGGAGGAGTGGGGGAACCAACCAGGTTCTCCCAGATTAGAGTCCGCGCACTTAACCACTACACCAAACTGGCCTGGACTTTTATTTTGCATCTTTAAAATAAGCACCTGGTATTGAAAAGTGGTGCAGCCGGCAAAGGAGGGCTATTGTGCCATCTTGGATTGGTTTTAATTTATAATCTATTGTTTTACTGTTGATAATGTTAATAATATGCCAGTTGTATTTTTAAGTGTTTGTAAGGTTGTAAATCGCCCAGAGCCTGCTTGCAGGGTGGGTGAGTCACAAATCCAATCAAATAGATAATAAGACACAAAAATTGAGTCCTGTAGTAGTAGAAAAGAGTAAGAGTCCGGTAGCTCTGAAGAAGTGAGCAGTGACTCACGAAAGCTCCTCCCCTGCCACAAATGTTAGTCTTTAAGGGGCTACCGGACTCTTGCTCCTTTCTACTGCTACCAACACACCAGCATGGTGACCCATCTTAACTGAGTCATGTATTGGCTTTCAACTATATTATTAAATGGGCCCTGCTGGTCTCATCCTGGGACTATTCTTCTGTTGCCTCCCCTGTCTCAAAAAAGAAAAGAAAAAAGCCAACGATGCGTTCTTCCGGCTTGTATCTCCATCCAACTGGCCACTCTTCCCAAAGAGTTCCCTGGTGCTCCAAAGAGGAAGGGAATAGCTCCAGAACCCGGGGACCACTTTCCCAAGGATTCCCGACTTCTGTCCCCACCGCAGCCACCAATCCCAATGTCCTGCTAAGACTGGGGGCTGGGCACTCCCCCAAGGGTGCAGTGGCATGCAGTTCTAATCACTGGAAACATGAAAGGGGCTGTCATCCAAAGAAACATCCCAAATCCCAACTACATTACAGGGTTTCCCCATCTTAACTGAGTCATGTATTGGCTTTCAACTATATTATTAAATGGGCCCTGCTGGTCTCATCCTGGGACTATTCTTCTGTTGCCTCCCATCTCAAAAAAGAAAAGAAAAAAGGCAACGATGCGTTCTTCCAGCTTGCATCTCCATCCAACTGGCCACTCTTCCCAAAGAGTTCCCTGGTGCTCCGAAGAAAAAAGGAATAGCTCCAGAACCCGGGGACCACTTTCCCAAGGATTCCCGACTTCTGTTCCCACCGCAGCCACCAATCCCAATGTCCTGCTAAGACTGGGGGCTGGGCACTCCCTCAAGGGAAAGGGCTCGGGGTGCAGTGGCATGCAGTTCTAATCACTGGGAACACGACAGGGGCTGTCATCCAAAGAAACATCCCCCCAAATCACAACTCATTACAGGGTCCAAGAGGAGATTGGATTTATACTCCGCCCTTCACTACCTGAAGGAGTCTCAGAGCGGCTCACAATCTCCTTTCCCTTCCCCTCCCCACCACAGACACCCTGTGAGGCAGGTGGGGCTGAGAGAGCTCTTTCCAGGACTGCCCTTGAGAGAACAGCTCTGAGAGAACTTGTGACTGACCCAAGGTCACACCAGCAGCTGCATGTGGAGGAGTGGGCAATCAAACCCGGTGCTCCCAGTTTAGAGTCCGCGCTCCTCATCACTACAGCACACTGCAGACTAAAAGGAAGACTGTGACAAAGGTTCGTCATGGGGATCATATAGTGGAAATCTTGCCTCAAGAGTTCGGTGACAAACCCAGACTTAAATACAAGAGACAAGACAATTCAGGTTGCCGCCACCACCACTACCTTTTGTGGCAGAGCCCGTTTCTTGCAACGTGCCACAGAAGTGGTGGGGCTGAGAGAGCTCTTTCAATAACTGCCCTTGAGAGAACAGCTCTGAGAGAACTTGTGACTGACCCAAGGTCACACCAGCAGCCGCATGTGGAGGAGTGGGGAATCAAACCCAGTTCTCCCAGATTAGAGTCTGTGCTCCTAACCACTACAGCAAACTGCAGACTGAAAGGAAGACTGCAACAAAGGTTCGTCATGGGGATCATATAGTGGAAATCTTGCCTCAAGAGTTCGGTGACAAACCCAGACTTAAATACAAGAGACATTTACTGACAACAGAGGTATTGCTCCATAGGCTCTGGCTGTCTCCCAATGGAGAATTCAGGTTCCACCACCCTTGGCGGCAGAGCCCGTTTCTTGCAATGTGCCACTGAAGTGCTCTCTCTTGCTCTGGCCAGGATGGCAGAGCTCGCCCCTAGCAGGTGTGGAGTCTCTTACTGGAAACCTTTCCCCACCTCCGGGACCCCCTACACCTCAGGAGAGAAAGGATGGCGCTGGACCTCTTTCCCCGTGGCACTATTTACTACGGGCAAGACATAAAAGGGTTGGAACACTTTCCCTGTGAAAAAAGGTTAAAGCGCTTGAGGCTCTTTCGCTTGGAGAAACGGCGGCTGAGGGGTGACATGATCGAGGTTTATCAGATTATGCATGGGATAGAGGAGGTTGAGAAAGAGGTACTTTTCTCCCTTTCTCACAAGACAAGAACTCGTGGGCACTCCATGAAATTGCTGAGCGGTCGGGTTAGAACAGATAAAAGGAAGTACTTCTTCACCCAAAGAGTGATCAACACATGGAATTCACTGCCACAGGAGGGGGTGGTGGCTACAAGCACAGACGGCTCCAAGAGGGCTTAGATAAACATGGAGCAGAGGTCCATCAGTGGCTATTAGCCCCACAAGGTATAGATATTGATCTGGGGCAAGGGATGCACTGTATCTTTGGTGCTTGGGGGGGGGGGCAACAGTGGGAGGGCTTCTAGTGTCCTGGCCCCACTGCTGGACCACCTGAGGGCACCTGGTATTTTTGGCCACTGTGTGACACAGAGTGTTGGACTGGATGGGCCATTGGCCTGATCCAACATTGGCTTCTCTCGTGTTCTCATATCTGGGGCAAGAGATGCTTTGTGTTCTTGGTGCTTGGGGGGGGGGGCGCAACAGTGGGAGGGCTTCTAGTGCCCTGGCCCACTGCTGGACCTCCTGAGGGCACCTGGTATTTTTGGCCATTGTGTGACAGAGTGTTGGATGGGATGGGCCATTGGCCTGATCCAACATGGGCTTCTCTTATGTTCTTATGACCATGCCCTTCTGGTACCCCTAGTCCCCAAAGTAGGTAGGGTCCAAAACCCTGCCACCCCATACCCATCCTTTTAGAGGATCTGAAAGGACCGAGCGGGTGCCCCTTCGCCCTTTGAAGGACGTACCAAGCACCCCGTACAAAGTTGATTCTGTGGACAAAACCTTCACACTGCTTCAACTGAGCTCAGCAATTTAATATACATCTGTATATATATTACATTTTAGGTCTATTGACATGGAACAAGAGACGATTCATCTACACCCGGCTGTCCATACAGAACGAGTTTCTGAGAGACGCCACGTCTGGTCGGCAAAGAAGGCGGCCTAGTTGAAATCGCAGAGAAACCTTTCAAGGAAGCGGTCCAGGTGTCCCCAAAGAGGACTGTGGCCATTTGGTTAGTGGGTTCCAGCTGTTTCCAAGGAGGAGGACAATTCACACCATTCCTTGCACGGAAGCAGCGAAAGAGTTTACTCCACACTGATCCGTTTCCTGGCACCTCCTGCTTAAGGAGCAGCTCCACCCTTCGCTAGAAGCCCGGTTCGCTCTCTCTTCTGCCGTATCCGGGAGGGAGTTGGTGCTTTTATGCTCCCAGAAGATCTGCACAGCCCCAACCAAAGAAACTTGTATTTTTGGGGTGTTTCCCGGAGAAGCGAATGAACGTCTGCATGCTCAGGAAGTTGTCTTGTGTTCTTTCAAGGAGTCTCAGGATCCAGCCACACAGCCACTGAGAGTTAATTCCCCCAACGTCCTCAGAGGTGCAGAAACAGAGAACACACACACACACACACACACACAAAGTTATACAGCTGAGGATTGTACCACAAGGTACCACATCAGAAGGGTTTATTTTCCCCAAGCCTCACAGGTGTTGGGTTTTCTTGCAAAGAAAGAAAAGAAAGCTCAGAGCTGCGTCCTGTGAAAAGATAAATCCTGTCATGCTGGTTACTCCAAATTCCATCCCATAACAAAAAAAACCAGTTGCTCCCCCCACCCCGTCCAGAATTCATCCATGCTTTTCAAAGCGGGGACGGGACGTGAAGTATCGCCACGCCTGACATCCCGGGGACGAAAGAATAGTTGGGTTTTTAACACCTTCAAAATGGCATTTAGAACATTTCCGACAACCAGAAAGTGCCTCGAGTTGTGTTTGTTTGTTTTTCCTTTTCAAACAAAATTATTTCCTAAACATGAATGATTCTAAAACGGAACACACCGACTGAACTCCCGTAAACTAAATTAATCTGTATTTTTTTTTTCACAAGCAGCAGAAGAATCGGGGACGAGAGTTCAGTCTTTGGGGACCCGGAAGGCATCTTTCTCTTTCCGGATCGCTCCCATCGTCCGGATGGGGTCCCTCTCCCGGGCGTGCTGTTGAACGGTTGTCTCTCTGGAAGGAGGGGAAGGGGAAAGAGAGACAGGTGATGTGGGGGCCATTGAAATTCAAGTCACGAAGCCAGTGCTCCCTCTAAGCTGTGGAGTCTTGTGAGCAAAAATTCCACTTTGTGAGCTACCGGCATTAAAGATGTGAGCGAGCCTTTTGGCTGCTGCATAAGTTAGTTTGCTCTGGAGCCCTCTCTTCCTGAGCGGAGACAAAAAATGCGTGAGCCGGAGGCTAAGAAACTGTGAGCTAGCTCACACTAAATCAGCTTAGAGGGAACACTGCATGAAGCCCTTTGCATTCTGAGGGCTTTCAATAATCACGTATCGGGAGATGACTGAGAGAAGATTTGAATGAGGGTCTCTCTGGGTCTCGTCCGACAACCGAACTGCTAGGCCAGGCCGGCTGGAAAGGGTCCGGGGCCCTCGGTGGGTATCCCTAACCCCTGCGCTCTTTCGGCCAACCGATCGACACTAAGGCACCCCAAAAGCACGAGTCCCTCGTCCGACTCTCCCCCTCATCCTCCGGGGCTCCCCGTTATTAGGAAGGCGACCGTTACCTCACTCTCATGAACGGGTTGTAGGTGAACTCCTCCCCGATAGTTGATGGGATGGTTGGCTCACCGCTGTCGTACTTGGCCTGAGGGAAGAAGAAGAGTTGGCCCGAAGGAGTCTCAGAGCGACCTACAGCCTCCTTCCCTTCCTCCCCATAACAGGCACCTTGGGTGGAGAAACCCGTCCCCCGGCCCATTCTGAATTTTTTAAAGTGTTCCCGTTTTCCCCCTCTTCTGTTTGGAAGGGCCATTACCTGCCATAGTTATGTAAATGCAAACAATGGTGGAAACAACCGCGATGTAGTATTATGAAAATAGATTTAAGACTGCCGTTTTTTGCAGTGAGTGGCGCTTCTTCAACACGAGCACGGAAAGAATCTGTTTCATCGGCGTGGGAAGAGTGCTTGCGTGTTAATTCAGAGATTAGAATTGTTGGCGTGTAAATGAATGTGATTGACGCAGCACGCCGTGAAAAAGCTGTCAGGTGAAACGGGGGATATATGCAAATTCCATTGTGTGTATGCGT